GAACATAAAAACTGTGAAAATGTCAAATGTGTTCCACTAAACAAACAACAAAACTGTAGTGCTGTAACAAAATAATCGAGTAAAATATACAAAAAAAAATACTCTTGGCGATATATCGACACAGCAGCCCATGATATCGATACTGTATCATGAGATTAAACGATACGATATATTGATATTTTTGCACATTTCTAATCAAGAAACAGTTTGCGAAGAAAAGTTGAAAAATTTACATTACCTGAAGTACAGAGCTGCTTGTCTCCATGGAAAAAAATCTGGAAAGTTCCGTATTGTATGTGATGAAACTTTTTAAAAATGTTGCTGTTATTCAAATATGGTTTTATAACAGCGCTGGTAACTTGATCTCGGTGTCATCTGCTAAAATGTTCAACGCCGAACGGTCGGAAGCAACAACAATAACATCCCCGCGTGGTCATTTGAGACTTGAACATTTGAAACTGTTGTTTACTCAAAAGATTAAACTATATTTCAACATGACGGAGCAGGTGTTCAAATGTGTTTTTAAAAGCAGAGAAGACTTTGAGCGCTGCCTCGTCTGCCGTGGTCCCCCGGCTGGATCTAAGGACATGGCATTGTGCTATTTTAGATGTAACAATGCTCTGTGCTGTCCTTTTTAAATGCACTTATGGTACAGTCTCCTCAGATTTCATGTGTGAGGAGGGACAGGTGTGTGTGTGAGGAGGGACAGGTGTGTGTGTGTGTGAGGAGGGACAGGTGTGTGTGAGGAGGGACAGGTGTGTGTGTGAGGAGGGACAGGTGTGTGTGAGGTGGGACAGGTGTGTGTGTGAGGAGGGACAGTGTGTGTGTGTGAGGAGGGACAGGTGTGTGTGAGGAGGGGACAGTGTGTGTGTGAGGAGGGACAGATGTGTGTGTGAGGAGGAGGGACAGGTGTGTGTGTGAGGAGGGGACAGGTGTGTGTGAGGAGGGACAGTGTGTGTGTGAGGAGGGGACAGGTGTGTGTGTGAGGAGGGGGACAGGTGTGTGTGTGTGAGGAGGGACATGTGTGTGTGTGTGTGAGGAGGGACAGGTGTGTGTGAGGAGGGACAGGTGTGTGTGTGAGGAGGGACGTGAGGGACATGTGTGTGTGTGTGTGTGTGAGGAGGGACAGTGTGTGTGTGTGAGGAGGGACAGGTGTGTGTGTGAGGAGGGACAGGTGTGTGTGAGGAGAGGAGGGACAGTGTGTGTGTGTGTGAGGAGGGACAGGTGTGTGTGAGGAGGAGGGACAGGTGTGTGTGAGTGTGTGTGAGGGGACAGTGTGTGTGTGTGTGTGAGGAGGGACAGGTGTGTGTGAGGAGGGACAGGTGTGTGTGTGAGGGGGACAGTGTGTGTGAGGAGGACAGGTGTGTGTGAGGAGGGGACAGTGTGTGTGTGTGTGAGGAGGGAGTGAGGGGGACAGGTGTGTGTGAGGAGGGACAGGTGTGTGTGAGGAGGGACAGGTGTGTGTGAGGAGGGACAGGTGTGTGTGAGGAGGGACAGGTGTGTGTGAGGAGGGGCAGGTGTGTGTGAGGAGGGACATGTGTGTGAGGAGGGGACAGGTGTGTGTGAGGAGGGACAGGGACAGTGTGTGTGTGAGGAGGGACAGTGTGTGTGTGTGAGGAGGGACAGGTGTGTGTGTGTGTGTGAGGAGGGGACAGGTGTGTGTGTGAGGTGTGTGTGAGGACAGGTGTGTGTGAGGAGGGGACAGGTGTGTGTGAGGAGGGACATTGTGTGTGTGTGTGAGGAGGGACAGGTGTGTGTGAGGAGGGACAGTGTGTGAGGAGGGACAGTGTGTGTGTGTGTGAGGAGGGACAGTGTGTGTGTGTGAGTGAGGAGGGACAGTGTGTGTGTGTGTGTGTGGGAGGGGGACATGTGTGTGTGTGTGTGAGGAGGGACAGGTGTGTGTGAGGAGGGACAGGGATGTGTGTGTGTGTGAGGAGGGACAGGTGTGTGTGTGTGTGTGAGGAGGGGACAGGTGTGTGTGTGAGGAGGGACAGGTGTGTGTGTGAGGAGGGAGGAGGGACAGGTGTGTGTGAGGAGGAGGGACAGGTGTGTGTGTGTGTGTGTGAGGAGGGACAGGTGTGTGTGAGGAGGGACAGGTGTGTGTGAGGAGGGGACAGTGTGTGTGTGAGGAGGGACAGGTGTGTGTGAGGAGGGACAGGTGTGTGTGTGTGAGGAGGGACAGGTGTGTGTGTGAGGAGGGACAGGTGTGTGTGAGGAGGGACAGGTGTGTGTGAGGAGGGACAGGTGTGTGTGAGGAGGGACATGTGTGTGTGAGGAGGGACAGGTGTGTGTGAGGAGGGACAGTGTGTGTGTGTGTGAGTGTGTGTGAGGAGGGACAGGTGTGTGTGAGGAGGGACAGATGTGGGGACAGAGTTTTTGTGTGAAACGTGCTCTATAAATAAAGTTTGATTTGATTTGTGGGGAGGGGTTGAGTGGTGTTCATAAATACAAAGGAAAATTCAGTTGGTTTTGGGTTTGGGTTGGGGTTTTTCACTCGCTCTTGTGCGGGTTGGGCCACTGAAGCTTGGCAGCTCTGGGGCTGTAGATAAAACACTTGACCCAATATGCCCGTGGTGTGTGTGGAAGGGATGAGGGTGCAGATTGGCACTCTCTCTTCAGCCGGTCTGCCCCAGGACAGCTGTGGCTTCATTAGAGCAGTCACTGACATTCAGCCTGCAGCTCTCAGACAGTTTTTTTCTTTTTAATTTCAGTGACATGTTTCTAATCTGCACCGCGCACTGTGCGCTGTGAGCAGACAGCGGTGGAAGGACTACTGCGCCCTCATGTGGTTTAAGTGCAAACTGCAGCCAAACTGACCTAAACTCACCAGATTACTTCCACGCGGAACCTCTCTGCCTGCTTCCCTGACCGGTCCCACCCTCCTCTGGGTTTACAGACGCTGTTTAGTCTCGTGCCACAGATACTGACATTATGATGAGAACATGAGCCGGACTCAACCGCACGGCTCCGCTTTTACGCTTTTATTTTGAAGGAACCGGGATCCTTTACTCCAGCAGCGGACACCGGCGTGACCGGGAGTGAGTTACCAGAGTTATGGACACAGACAGTTCCCCGGGACCCGACCCCCGCCCAGGAGCCCGGGAGGAGGCTCCGGGGCCCCGGGGCCTGGTGGACTGGAGCCACAGACCGTACCGGACCTGCCTCGTGCTCTCCGGTGTGAGCGCGCTGCTGTGGTGAGCATCATGACGCATCACTCCAACTCTCTCCTGCTCCCGGCGCTTAGGTGTTGGCTACAGAGGCTATTTCTGATTTGTTTGAGGCTATTACGTGGTCATAGATATTTTCTATTTTTTATTCCGGCCCAATAATCACTTTTTTATATTTTGATCTTTAGGCTACATGTAAAATCAAAGCTTGAAGGCATCTAATTGTCTCTGAAACATAATAATATCCTGCATAATTTACAATGTGGCCTATTCAAATAAACATGACAATAGTATAAGCCTATTGCTACTAACCTGAGATATTAAAATGTAATTTATTGCTCATTTCATTGTTGAACACCAAAGCCGAATAATTTTGTTATATTTCTTAAAAGTCCCATATTATATTTTCTGATTGTATTTTGTTTCCTCATCACAAATATGTGGGTGAATCAAAAAAACAAAGCACAACTCCGAGGTATGTTTTTGAGGAACTAGCTGACAGTCATACATTTTAATTGCTTTACCTGTAATTTTCCATAGAGCTTGCATTTATTTATAAGAATTGTATTTATTTTAATTTTAATTTTAATTAAATTTTATTATTTATTTTTTTATTTATTTTATTTTTTTATTTTATTTTATTTATTTATTTTTTTTTATTGACAGCTGGCTCTTTACTGTGGGCCTTCGTTCTTTAAAACCATCCTGTGTAACATTTCAGTCAGAGCAATAATATCTCCATGGAGACGAGCAGGTTACACAGTGCACCTTTACATGATCAGTATCGTATTGTGACCCGGTGCTGCGTTGCTGTTGCAGGCTGGTGGTGCTGGGCCCGTGTCGGAGCCTCTGCCTCCTGTGCCTCCTCTTGGCTCTGGGAGTCCTCGTCGACTTTGCAGGTATCGTCTGGGAAAGTTTGGGTTTGTCCTCTGTGCGTTGCTATGGTGATAAAGTTTGTTTGTTTGTTTGTTTGTTTGACAGGAGGATTCTGGATTCCTGGTGTGATGCACGGGTGAGTTCTCAAACACACAGACACGTCCCTGTTCAACTGGATGTAACAAAAGTTTGAGTTTTTCAGATGAATGAAGTCTAACAATTATTCTTTTGATTAGATAGATTAGTTCTTAAGATTTATTCTGAATTTGACCCAGATGAAGCTAAACTGAAGCGTTTCCTGGGTAATTTTGAGGTAATTGTCTTTTGTCTGAATCATAGACCCTCTCTGCTTCGACCAGAGTCCAGTTTGTGTCATGATGTTCCACTTTTTCTTGATCTTTTTCTGTGAGAGTCGTTCTAGATCAATGGGCACAACTCAGGTCCGAGTGCTGCACATATGAACGTGGCATGAGCCGGGTTTTGCTCAGAAACATACACAAGTTTTGACTTGGACTCGAGTCAGACTTGAGTCACTATTTTGAGGACTTGGGACTCGAGCCCTGTGACTTGAGATGACTTGATGTTTCATCATTTAGAAAACAATTTTCTCTAAACGCTGATACTTTAGGGGTCCACGTCTCTATTTGTTACTAAGAATGTAACAATAAATGAAATATTGTGATACTGGATCATCAAATGTCTTACTTAATGATACTGGAGACTGTCACAATAAATTAGATCACATGCTCCCTTTGCATTGTTTTGATTAGTCCAGGGGTGTCCAAACTTTTTTCATCAAGGGCCACATATGTAAACACAGATGAAGCAGAGGACTGATCGAGGGCTGTAGACTGGAGCTCAATATAGTGAATAATTGAAATATGTGCATGTTTAACACGTTAGAATGATCCATCAGTCTTTATTCACGCTAAGATCCATAAAACCACACACTAAATATTAAATATTGGCTTTATCAAAGTAGATTTTCAAAAAACTTGCAGGAAAAAGTTAATTTTTAATTGATGAAAGGTCATTTGGGCCAATTCACCTGGAAGCCTGAGGGCCAAGAAAAATTTGTCTGAGGGCCGCATTTGGCCCCTGGGCCACAGTTTGGACATGCCTAGATTGCGGCATGGTGGCTGAGTGGCTAGCACTCATGCCTCACAGCAAGTAGGTTCTGGGTCCTCTACCAGAGGTCTGGGAGCCGGAGAGTTCTGTGCAGTATCTTTGCTGTTCCAGTACTGCACTTTTCTGGACTGAGATGTCTGTTGTTTTTCCTGGTATCGGCTGTAGTCTCTTCCAGTTTGGGGATTACGGTCCCGAGTGCTCCGATCACCATATATATAAAAATACCAGGGGCTCAAGGAGGAGCTGGAGAAGGTCTGGAAAGTGAAAGCATCAGTGGTGCCTGTGGTGATGAGAGCACTGGCGGCTGTAACCCCCAAACTGGAAGAGACGACAGCCGATACCAGGAAAAACAACAGACATCTCAGTCCAGAAAAGTGCAGTACTGGAACAGCAAAGATACTGCAGAACTCTCAGGCTCCCAGGCCTCTGGTAGAGGACCTGAGCTGAATGAGGATGAGACCAACCACTGTGAAAGGTGAGGAACACATTTAAAAAAAAAAAAATATGACAAAATAACTGTAAATTACAAATAAATGTCAAAAAATACAAAGATGGTCTGCTGAGGTCTGTGCAGAAGGATGTGTCGTTGGGCTGTGGTCTCGGTCTTGTCTCGACCTTTGAAAGTCTCGATCTTGTCTCGGTCTCGACCCTCAGAGGTCTTGGTCTTGTCCTGATCTTGGGACCCTGTGGTCTCATACTGGTCTTGGTCTCAATTAGTGCGCTCTTTACTACAACACTAGATTTGATTCAGCAACAGATAAAACAGAGAGAACTACATAGACCATGATCCTTTGCTCCATTTCAGTACAAATTAAGTAACTGTTATTACACACTTTTAATCTTAATTCTTTGGATTATGACACTAACGGTTTGTATCACATTTTTGTCAAGGCTTTTGAAAAGAACAAAACAGACAATTGTGTTTGCTTCTCCAAAATATTGAGTATTTGTGCCGTGAGATTTGAATATTATTACGTTCCTGTTTGTTGTATGATTTTTAAAGCAGTACAATTTAGTTTAAAAGCATTTAAATTACAAAAAAATACTTTAAGGACTTGAATTGACTTGAAGCTCAAAGCAGAGGACTTGGACTTGGCTTGGATTTGTGGACCACAGACTCAGGACTTGGCTTGGACTTTCTGTCTTGAGACTCACTTGAGATTTGCAAAAACAACGACTCGTTCCCTCCCCCGTTACATCGTGGATCCTTCCGTGCGGACTCCAGCAGACAGTAAATATGTTTAGCTCCAGAACCGTCACGTGCGGCGCTCTACTCCCTCCTCGAGCATGTGACGAGGCGCATTGCTCAATGACACAGCGGCAGTGCGGCCAAGATGGAACCCCCAGAGCGGCTGACCTGTTGTGAAACTGAGCCTGTGTACAGAAAAACTACAGCACATGGAGCTTCCAGGAACAAGAACCCGAGCCAGAGAGAAGCAGAGAAGGAGGAGAAGAGGAGCAGAAGAGGAGAAGAAGAGGAGGAGGAGGAGAAGAAGAGGAGCAGAAGAGGAGAAGAGGAGGAGAAGAAGAGGAGGAGTAGAGGAGTAGAGAAGGAAGAGTAGAGGAGGAGACCAGAGAAGGAGTAGAGAAGGAGTAGAAGTGCAGCAGAGGAGATTAGAGGAGGAGAAGTGGAGGAGAGAAGAGGAGGAGAAGAGGAGGAGACCAGAGGAGTAGCAAAAGAGGAGCAGAAGAGGAGTAGAGGAGGAGAACAGAGGGAGACAGAGGAGGAAAAGAGCAGAAGAGGAGGAGAAGAAGAGGAGGAGGAGCAGAAGAGGAGGAGTAGAGGAGTAGAGAAGGAAGAGTAGAGGAGGAGACCAGAGAAGGAGTAGAGAAGGAGTAGAAGTGCAGCAGAGGAGAAGAAGAGGAGGAGAAGAAGAGGAGACCAGAGGAGGAGTAGAGGGGGAGAAGAGAAGGAGAAGAAGAGGAGACCAGAGGAGGAGTAGAGGAGGAGAAGAGAAGGAGAAGAAGAGCAGCAGAGGAGACTAGAGGAGGAGAAGTGGAGGAGAAGAAGAGGAGACCAAAGGAGGAGTAGAGGGGGAGAAGAGAAGGAGAAGAAGAGCAGCAGAGGAGACTAGAGGAGGAGTAGAGGAGGAGAAGTGGAGGAGAAGTGGAGGAGAAGAGGAGGAGACCAGAGGAGTAGCAAAAGAGGAGCAGAAGAGGAGTAGAGGAGGAGAACAGAGGGAGACCAGAGGAAAAGGAGAGGAGGAGAAGAGGAGCAGAGGAGAAGAACAGAGGGAGACCAGAGGAGGAGCAGAGGAGACGCAGAGGAGGAGACACAGAGGAGGAGCAGAAGAAGAGCAAAGGAGGACAAGAAGAGGAGGAGCAGAGGAGGACACCAAAGGAGGAGGGGAGGAGGAGACCAGAGGACGAGCACAGGAGAAAACAAAAGATGAATGCAGAGGTAGAGGAGAAGAAGAGCCCAGAGGAGGATCTCAGATGTTTTGTTTTACGACTTCAATTAACTTAACTCGTTTGTTTTAAAAGTGTTTTTCCTCACGTACCTTATGTATTTTGACCGTCCTAATTATTCTCCACAATGAGTTTATACTTACAGGACACAGCAAAAAGTGAAGTGTTAAAACTGACTCTCACACAATCGATTTGAACATTTTCTCAGGTTTATATGAGTCCCAACTCTTCTAGAGTTAATTTAACATTTTTAACTCTGGACCAAAGTTCCTGTTTAACCCTGAAATCAGGAGTTAGATGAACGTTTTGAGAGTAAACAGATAACACTTTGTAGAGTTATCCTGATTTAGCAAAACAACACACAGAGGTTTTATTTTTACACTTTATTTGAGTTAATTTAAGATGAAATTATGAACAAAACTGGTTCAAATTTGGTCTTCTCTCACCAGAGTTTGAAGTGTTGAGTGGGAGGAAGTTGAATTAACACTAAAGGAAGTTGAATTAATACTAGAGGAAGTTAAATTAACAGTAGAGGAAGTTGAATTTACACTAGAGAAGTTGAATTAACAGTAAAAGAATTTGAATTAACACTAGAGGAGGTTAAATTAACACTAGGAGAAGTTGAATTAACACTAAGGGAAGTTGAAATAACACTAGAGATTGAATTAACAGTAACAGAAGTTGAATTAACACATTGAAGTTAACACTTAAGGAAGTTGAGTTAACATTAAAGGAAGTTCAATTACCACTAGAGGAAGTTAAAGGAAATTTAATTAACACTAAAGGAAGTTGAATTAACTTCAACTGGCAAATAACCCAAACTCGAACCCCTATTTAACTTTCAAATAGTTAAAATAACACTTTTTTGTGTTAAGAACAACAAAAAGTGTGTACACTGCAAAAAAGCTTGGCCAGAATTTAAGCCATAAACACTTAAATCAGAAAACGACTTAAAAATGGTGAAATTATCTGTCCATGCAACAAGTTCTCTGAAAATAAACAACCTTAAACAGTCTCAGAACTCGTAAGTGGATAATAAATCTGAAAATAACAATGAATAACCTGATATAACTTTTAAAATCCTGTCCAGGTCAGAGGAATGCGCCGTGTCGAGGCCCTTTTAAAAGCAAACGTGCGGCTCAAACAACACGCTGAGGAAACATGACATGGGTGAGGAGAGGGGGTGTGGCGGGTGAGAGGGGGGTCACAGGGGGGTTGAGTCATGGGGCTCACAGGGGCGACAGGGGGGGCGACAGGGGGGCGACAGGGGTGGAGGTGTCCCGGCCTTCTGTTGAAATCCCGGCGTTATTTTTAGAGCTCTTCAAATACTGTCGCGTGGCTCTGGATACAAACACTTGGTGAAATAGCGCTCGCGGGCAGCACTTTGGATCCGGTTTATTTCATTTTGATTATTTTAGTTTTTCTGATTTTCTGAGATTTCCCAAGATGTTACCTGAAGATCACGCGGCACAGCTCAGGTACAGTTCACTCCGAAAAGGACTTTATATTTTGGAAAAAGCACTTCCTGGTCAGTTGGAGATGATGGAAATGATAGAAACAAAGATTTCATTCAGTTTTCTTTATAATTTGATAATTGGT